GGAAGGAAATATTTCTATGTTTACTATAACTATAATGTAATTTCATAAAGATACTTTCTAAAAGACAAACAAATCTTCAAGTTAAAAATCAGCTTAGAGAATTTTTAAAATGTTTAACAAAATCAATCTATGGAAGGAATCTAATTTTTTTCAACCTAAACAAAGTGTTTAGGGACCACAGGAAATATTTCTTCAGTGTAAAAATATATAAAACAAACCTGTGAGCTCAGGTCTACGCTATGAACGGAGTAAGATCTTCTGCCCCATATCACCCATAACTACACCTAGGAGAAGGCCTTAATTTTCTCATTGGGTGGGTTGCTGCCTTGCTGCACATTTTAAAATCTATCAACATAACACCAAGAAGAAACCACAAAGGAAAAAGAATGATACATCCCCATACACAAATATTTAAAACCCAATACTAAATTAAATACTAAATTAAAAGATTTATAAAAATTAGAATATTTACAACGTAATATCTCAACAGAGAAATCTTTTACAAATCAACTATACACACACACACACACGCACACAAAAGAAGATAAAAAATGACGAGTAGACCTAAGGAAAAAGAAAAGAGGAGTTAAGCTCTCCAAATGACATTTTTCACTCAACATATAAGGGAAGATTTTTTTTTTTTTACATCTTTGTTGGAGTATAATTGCTTTACAATGGTGTGTTAGTTTCTGCTTTATAACAAAGTGAATCAGCTATACATATACATATATATATGTATCTCCTCCCTCTTGCGTCTCCCTCCCACCCTCCCTATCCCACCCCTCTAGGTGGTCACAGAGCACTTAGCTGATCTCCCTGTGCTATGCGGCTGCTTCCCACTAGCTATCTGTTTTACCTTTGGTAGTATATATAAGTCCATGCCACTCTCTCACTTCATCCCAGCTTAACCTTCCCCCTCCCCGTGTCCTCAAGTCCATTCTCTATGTCTATAAGCGAAGATTTTTAAAAAATAGTAACAGGATGAGGGAGGGTATAGAGCATACTTCTGGTGGCAGTAAATACTGATGTCAACATTTGGGAAAGTAATTTAACTACATATATTAAAACCCCTATAAATGTGGATTTCCTTAAAACCACCAGTTCTGGGCTTCCCTGGTGGCACAGTGGTTGAGAGTCCGCCTGCCGATGCAGGGGACACGGGTTCGTGCCCCGGTCCGGGAGGATCCCACATGCCGCAGAGTGGCTGGGCCCGTGAGCCATGGCCGCTGAGCCTGCGCGTCCGGAGCCTGTGCTCCGCAATGGGAGAGGCCACAACAGTGAGAGGCCCGCGTACCGAAAAAAAAAAAAAAAAAGTTCTAATTCAAGGTATTTGTCCTCATCCAATCATTAGACAAGTATCTGTAAGGACTTTATTGCAGGGATTTTGATACACATACAGATAAAAATATCTGGAAGGACGCATACCAAAATACTAAGGTGTGAAGATCAACAAATAAAACCTGAAAAAAAACCATCACCAATTTTTTTCCTTTTTATTACTCATCTGTATGTCTCAAGTGTCTGTAACAAAAACTTACTTTTGTAACAGTTTGTCTCATTTTTATTCTCTTTTTCAGAAAATGTACTTTAAAAGCATAGAAAAGGTGATTGGAACTTTGGGATTCCTATCCAGGGTTACCCAAAAGTCAAACTGTATTCCAATCAAGAGCAGATTAAATATGAAAAGCAAAATGGTAGGCTCCCTTACACAGCAACTCTTGCTTCATTTCTGGTTACTTCTACCTACACAGAGAATTGTTCAAGGAAGGTGTTTACCATCCCATATGTAGTCGAGATAATTTGGGCCATAAAGTCACAATTTTCCATACCTGCACAATGATTTTTTTTATGAGACCAGACACCTGAACAAAATCTTTGGGAATGCAGGATATGGCAGGCAGTAGAAAGGAAATTGACACCAACTTTCCTAAGATTCCCCAAAGTAAGAAAGCATCTCTTTCCCCTACATTGACTCCAGGTTACACACTGGAAAATAGCGGCAAGTGAGGAATGCCAAGCGTAGACACAAAAACCAGAACATGACCATGGACTGTGAGGTAGCCAGGCTGGCAGGTGTAGGACTGAAATGGCTGCATGCCACAGCAGTAAAATGCCTGTGACATCCACACACCTACAATCAGTTTGGCGGTGTTTCCAACCCAGGCTGAGGGATTTCATTTTCCCCATATTAGGCAGTGACAAAGATTTAGATGGACCAAACATTTTATATTACTGTCAACAGCACTAACGTAGGTTCAGCTGGCAGAAGAGAGGGAAACCAAGAGTGTCTGCATTATTTTCTCCAAAGAAACGAGCTGAGCACCATCTGCTGTCAGCCACCACCACCATCACCACCACCCAGTGCAGCTCTTTCTGTACCACACCCTCACCCCACTTCTGTGAGCTCCCTCAATCTCGGCCCAAGGACCTGAAATCCCAGTGTTGCCCTAAATATACGTTTAGAAAGTTACTTACGACAGAGCAGTTGGTAACACAGAAGATCTCTTAAATGCTGCAAAGTGTTGTCTACTCGTGTCCAGCTGCAAAAATTATCTACTCTTCCAACCTTCCTTCTAAGATTACATGCAATGCTACAATGCTTCGCCTACATAACGTGGGGGGATGGGGGTGGCCAGACCATACAGTGTGGAAAACCAATATTCTCACACTAGTGTCTATAAACTGGTTCAAGTTCATAAAAGTAGAACAGGAAAGCCTACTGAATTAATAATAGGAAATAGGTTGCATGAGCAAAGACAAGTTTCCAAAATACCTACAAACCACACGTGGTATCTGTGTCTAGCCGATTTTTTTCACGGCCTTTCAGGAAATGAACTATCCCACTCTGAAAAACCAGAAGAACAGTATTAGTAAGTCAGTCAAGACCAAAGCCAACTCCAATAGTGATTATAGTACTACATTTGATCTCTATGGACTGTAGAGGAGAATATAAGAATGAGACCCCTCAAGAGCTTTTCATTAAAAACCAAAAGCCATTTATACAGAAGCAGTTCAAATTTTATTTATAAATTTGTTTAAAAGCATATAAAAGATTTATTTTTTTCTTTTGCTCACATTTGTGCCCTGAATTAAGAAAGTAGGGATTCAAATCTAAAGGTGCCAAAGCTTCCCCAAACCTGATCTGAGAATTAGATAAGAATTAGCTGTTTAGAGAGACAGGCATGCAGCACCCACAGCTCTCACTAACCTGAAAGCATCAAATGATTCCCTCCTTTTCTATCTTACTAACACGTCTATAATTATACTTCCAATACGAGGTGAAACCAATTAGAAAAATAATGCAGCATTTCACTGGCAGTAGAGATTAAATATGAGTTCAGTAATCAGCTCCTACAAACATGCATAAATAACGACAGGGAGAAACCAGTCATCCCCAGCTGCTCAGCTGAGTGGGTGGGCAGTTGAAGTCAAGGTAAAAACAGTGAGGCTGAACAAAACTGCAAGAAGGAAAAACATCTCGGGTGGTTTTTCAAGGTCAGTTGACAAAGGCCAGTTGTAAGCAAATATTTCTCATATATCCTGGAAGAAAAAGAAAACAAAAATTAGTACCAGCAACAAAATTCAAAGCCTTTGTAAATCCAAAATGAAGTTCCTCCAAAAAACACTCTACCTGACTATTTTTTTAATGATTTCAAGTCCCAGTGAAATGATTTAATTTTCCAGTTCCATTTTGAGTCACAAAATGGTCTCTGTCAACAATGTAATGGCTTATTGAATGACAGCTCATCAGCTGTGTTCTGAGACATAGGCTAACACGGGTCACAACTAATAGTGTTCACAAATATTGTCACCCACCTCCATAGTTACAGCAAGGACAGGGCAAATGTAGTACGGGGCAGAGCAATTTAAATGGAACTGTGTGGAGTAGAGGCACACTGTATTATACAGCAGGAAGGTGACTTCTAAGGGGACGTGGAGGAAAGGAGACAGACTTAAATGAGTCCCCACCCCCCACTATGTGCAAACAGTCATGACATCTCCATCAGGCCTCCCAGACTGCTGGGCCAAGGTACACCTGGGATTCAGACTACTGGTGCTCTAACATTCTGGGAAACTAAAATTTCAGGTTGCCTCATGGGTCATGGCAAATGCTTAACCGCCTTTGAAGACACTGGAGTCAGCGTTGCAACAGCATCTCGAAGGGTCTCACCTACTGGTATCAGAGAAGGGATCGTTTGAAGTGATTCTTTAAACATCCTACCCTAGATGCATCATGAAAAGTAATAAAGGACTCTAGAAGACCAAAAACAAATTTTTAATATAAAAGCAATTTTAAAGTATCAAAGAATATGGTACTATGGAGAACAGTATAGAGCATCCTTAAAAAACTAAAAATAGAATTACATATGATCCAGCAATCCCACTCCTGGGCATATATCCGGAGAAAACTATAATTTGAAAAGATACATGCACCCCAGTGTTCACTGCAGCACTATTTACAATAGGCAGGACATGGAAGCAACCTAAGTGTCCATCAACAGAGGAATGGATAAAGAAGATGTGGTACCTATATACAATGGAATATTACTCAGCCATAAAAAAGAATGAAATAATGCCATTTGCAGCAACATGGATGGACCTAGAGATTATCATGCTAAGTGAAGTAAGTCAGACAAAGACAAATATCATATGATATCACTCATATATGGAATCTAATTTTTTAAAAATGATACAAATGAACTTACTTACAAGACAGAAGCCGACTTACAGATATCTAAAACAAATTTATGGTTACCAGAGGGAGGGAAAGGGATAAATCAGGAGCATGGGATTAACACACACTACTATATATAAGATAGATAACCAACAAGGACCTACTGTATAACACAGGGAACTCTACTCAATATTCTGTGATAATCTATATGAGAAAAGAATCTGAATAAGAATGAATACATGTATAACTGAATCATTTTGCCGTACACCTGAAACTAACACAACGTTGTAAATCAACTATACTCCAATAAAATTTTTTAAAAATAAAAATTATAAATAAATAATCAAATAACAAATATGTATTAAGTAACCTGAGAAGAATGTGATTTAAATTAGAAAAAGCTTTAAAAATAAAGATCGGTCTAATTTTTCTACCCAAAATATGCTGATCAAAGGCCTACTACTTAAGTGTCCATATGATGTTTCAAGAAACAAGTTTTTCTTTGGCTTTCATCATAGTTTTATCATATTTTCTGCCTTCCTCCTTTCTTTCTCTGTCTTTGGCTTTTTACTGATTCCAGCATATCCTCCAAGCCCCATCTGTGAGCCCTCCTCTCTCATTCCTTGTAGGAGCTTAATTGTCATCTACCAACTTCTAAACAAATGCCACATTCTAAATATATTCTGTATACTAACCTCTTGTCCACTTATTATTTATAAAACATATCCACACTAAAAGTTTAGTTTATAACTTTTCTTATTTTTGTATGGTGTCCTTTGATGAACAGATGTTTTATTTTAATGTATATTTATCATTTCTTTTTAGTTTATACCTTGGGTCTTATGAAATCCTCCCTAGCTCAATTTTATAAATAGTCTATTTTCTTCTAGAATTTAAAAAGTCTTCCTTTCTATTTATAAGCTTTACTCTACCTGGAATTGATTTTTTTAATGATTTCATGTGGGTACTCAATTGTCCCAACAGCATTTGTTGAAGAGTCCATTTTCCCCTTATGATGGGCTCTACCTTTTGTCATACAACAAAATTCTAGAAATAGTTGGGACTGCCTGTGCCAATTCTATACCATATTAAATATTTTATTAAGTCCCATATGTACTTCTATATTTTTAGGAGTGAATTGGCTATTCTTGGTTCTTTGCTCTGATTAGAATTTAACTAAATCAACGGATTATTTGAGACCTCATTCTTATCCATTAACAAGGTAAAACACCATTTATTTATTCCTTAATGTCTTTCTATAAAATTGTATATGTATTTTAAAGGTAATATACATCTCTGGTTTTACCTTTTTATTAGGTTTTTTTGTTGATTCTCTACGCGTAGAGACAAACTTAGTTCTTATATATTGATCCTCTATCTACCAACATGGCTAGGCCCTTGTTTATTCTAATAATTTTAATATAAATTCTTTTGGATTTTCTCAGTAGATAATTGTATCATCTGTGATTTATAAATATTTTCCTTTTCAATGCTTATATCTGATTCAAAAGAAAAGCTTTTGATGTGTTTTTATTATAGAACTTTGATCCCTGTATTAGCTAAAGAAATTTCTTTTCTATTCCTAGTTTGCTAGAAGTTTTTACTGCAAATGAGTATTGAAACTTATCAAGTGCTTTCTCTGTATCTATTGAGATGATCATATGGTGTTTCTCCTATAATTTATGAGGTAAATTATCTCGGAGATTTTTTGGGGTTTTTTTTGTTTATTTGTGATAAGCCAAGCTTGTATTTCTGGGATGAATATAATTTGATAAGGATATACTATGCTTTTTTTAAGAAATTCATAATTGAATCTGTCAAAATTTTGTTGTGATTTTTTTAATCTATGTTTATGAGTGAGACTGGCTATAATTTATTTTCTGTATAGTCTTTGATTTTGATTCATAGTTACATTCACCTGCTTAATCCTTTGGAAGAATACTCCCTCCTTTTCATTTATCTGGAAAACATTCTAGACATTTGGAATAATCTGTTTCTTGAACATTTAGTAAAACTTTTCTGTAATATGTGTAGGCCTGGTTTTTATTTTATGGGAAGACAGTAACTAATCTAGATATGGTTTAAATCATTTTGAATTCCCACCGACAAAGTGTGAAAGAAACTGTTTCCCCCATCTTGCCAACAGAGTATGTTGTCAGTCTCTTGTGCTTTGCCAAATAATAGATGAAAAATGATATTTTGGTTTAATTCTTAATTTGTATTCTTTTTGTTATAAATTCATTGGGTGCTTTAATTTCAAAGATTGTATTTTTTTATTCCTAGAAGTTCTGTTTTGCTCTCTTTGAAATCTTCCTGGTTGTCTGTATCTCTTGTTTTTGCTCATCGTTTCAAATCCAATATCTATTCCATCAAATGTTTTATACATAGTTACTTTAAATTCAGTATCTAATCATTTTATTATAACAAATCATTTGGTTCTAAATCTCTGTCATTTTGGTGACCTCAGCCACAACCACATGTTTCCCTGTGCTTGTGGTAAGTTCCAGTCACTGTGTTATGCTTGGGATATATCAGTGAACAAAACAGTCAAAGGGCCCTGCTCTGATGGAAGAGGGAACATAAATTACCACAGGGAGAGAATAAGAGTAATTAGTCAACAAAACATCTAAGAAAATGATGTTAGAAAATTAGGCTAGAAGTTGCAGAGTGCTACTGAATAAAGAAATGGAGACTGCAAAGAGAATGACAAGAGCCTGGGGTAAGGGCACAGGTGGCAGCATTAAATGAATGGCCAAGGAATTCTTGGAACGCAAGAAAATACTTGAAAGAGAACAAATCGTTTGGACACTTTGGAGAAGAGTACAGAGGGAGCAGCCAGTTCTTAAGTTTTCAAAGAACAGCCAGAAAGCTGGCATGGCTGGGAGGAATGAGGAAGAAGGGCAGTAGGAGGAGAGTGCCAGAGGAGTAGAGTGGGGTCTAGATCATGGAGCCCCTGTAAGGGTTAGTAAATAGAAATCCTTTGGCTTTTACTCTAAGGACTTTGGCTTTTACTCCAAACATTTGGAGAGTTATCAGAGCCATTGGAGGGCTTTGAGCAGAGGAGTGACAGGGTCTGACTTATTTTTCAGTCTCATATTGAGAACAGACTCTAGGTGGGTAAGTGTGGGAGCAAGGAAACCATCGAGGAGACTATTTCAAGAATTGAGATGAGCAGTGATAGAGGTTGGGATCTATTCTGAAGGAAGAGTCAAGAAGATTTGATGATGGGTCAGCTGTGAGGATGTGAGAGATGGGTTGTACTGTTATGCAAACAGGAAAAAGTGCAGATAGAGCATTGGGGTAAAGAGGATCAAAGGTGAAGTTTTAGACATATTAAGGTTGAAATGTCTATTAGACATGCAAGTAGGGATGTTGGGTAGACAAATGGATCTGCAAGTCTAGAGGAAGAGGTCTAGGCTGGAAATTGAAATTTGGGAGTACAGAGCATATTGGTATTTAATTTCATGAGAATGAATGAGGCCATGAAGGTATTAAATGAATGTAAAGAAGATGGTCCAAGGTGGATCCCTGAGGCACTCCACTGTTAAGAGGACAGAAAGATACAGGGGATTCAGCAAAGGAGAACAGAAAGGAGTGGCCACTGAAATAGGTGGAAACCCAGGAGAGTACAGTGTCCCAGAAGCCAAGTAAAAAAGAGGTTCAAAGAGGAGGCAGTGATTCACCATGACAAATGATGCTGATCGGTCAAAAGATGAAAATTGAGAAATAACCATTTGATTTTGTAATGTAGACAATGTCAGTAACCATGAGAAGAACACTGTGGTTAGACAGATATGGTCTAAATTCCGATTAGACTGGGTTTAACAGAAAAGGGAGGAAAGAAATTTGAGACAGGATAGATACCTCAAAGTTTTTCTCTAAAGGGGAACAAAGAAACAGGACAGTAGCAAAAGGGAAAGGGGCTTCAATACATAATGTATATTTATTTTTCTGCTGATGGGAATTTTCTAGTCAAGATGACAGCTGACAGTTCAGGAGAGAGAGAAGAACATTGTTAGAACAAAGTCCCCCAGTAGGTGGAGGAGATAGAATCTGGTCCATAAGGAAAAGCAGACATAGAGGAAGAGATGTGTGTAGGTAAGTGAGGTGGAGATGGGAGACTGCGCAAGTTCTTACCTTTGTGTCACTGCTTCTTTCACGCAAGGGAGAAGCCAATATACACTTTGGACTTGGATATGCCTATCTTACTAAGGAATCTTCAATCATTCTCACTCACATCACATCGCGAGAAAGCAATGTTCCTCCCTTTTTATCTGTGAGGAACCTAAGTGGAGATTCACAGCTCACTTACCTAAGACCTACCAATAGTCAGTGGTGAGCCAGACTCCCATATCCTCATTCTCCTAACAGCAGCCCATGCAGTCTTCATTTACTCTCTCCCATCATCTTCCCTTCAATCCCAGGTATTTTTCTATGTATATGTACCTTCTAAATTGGTGGTGGTGGTGGTGGAGGAATTATTAAGTAGAGGAGAAAATATACAGCAAGTTTCCAAGTCCTGTCCAAAAGCTGAGTTTCAATCACATTTCACAACTTATAAATTCTATAAACTTGGATAGTCTTAAATTCACAATGCCCTATTTTCCACATGACTCTTACTCGTGTATTCTTATAAGTCAGTAATATGTCAATTTCACACAAGATGCAAAGACACTGTGTTTTGATTCTTTTTTCTCTCTTGTACATTGTCCCTATTCTGAATGCCATAGTGATACACATGAGCATACCTTATAAATAGACACATCCACTGTGCATTCTCTACAAATTTGTCTACACTTAATTATCTTCAATATATATATACATTTTTGAAATCTATCCATAAATTTTAACCACTAGATGCATTCCAAGGAAACATGCATATAAGATTTCTAACAGATTGTCTTCTCAAAAATGATCTTTTGTCCATCAGGTATTTGTTAAGGGGTGATCTCCTCTAGAGTTTCCAGGTCAGCAAGCATTTGATTACTTTGTTGTATTTTACCAGTTTAAAGGTTTCTATCCATTCTTTTTTTTTTTGAGTAGGTACATATACACTTGGGCTTCAATTAAATTGTAAAACCCACTGTAGTTAGTTTTGATTCTGTACACATTGGAAACCCCACAATCCCATACATTCCAAAGCTTTGGTGCTGTTTCAATAATATATTGTGCACACAAAACACATTACACACATATTACAACACAGTTGCAAGGTTTTCTTCACGGAAATCTGTAAGAACATTTCATTTTCAAAAAGTGCATTTTGCTGTAGGGGTTTTTAAAAATCATTTTGTAGTGAAAAATTAAATGCTGGTTTCTTTGACGTGCTAGTTTCACTGAAAGAATATATTACAAGAGAATGCTTACTATTTTTATAACCATATGTCACTGAAAATCTTCCTGAAAAAAAATGTTCATTTGTTTTTGTTTTAGGTCTGGGCAAAGGGTGACTTTTTAAAAAGCCTTGCAGTCCAGGCAATCACACAGCAAACAAAGGGCAGGTGTCATTTTTTATTGTGATTGGCATTGACTGGAGCTGAAATCAGGACCTTCTCCATCTCTCAGAAGCTATTGTGGAATTTACAGTAATCACCCTGGCTGACTGCCCATCACACAGCTGAATAGCACGCCAAAAAAAATAGTATCTGGGGAGAAGGCCACAACGTATTTTTAAAACTCTCATTGTTTTTATTCTTCAACTTTGAAAGATTTTTTTTAGAAAAAATAAAAATAAAACTCACCCAGCTGTTACCACTATTCATATTCCAATAGCCTCCAAAGTGCTGGAGGCCACCTGGCTGACTTTCACCTTGGAGTCGGTCCAGAAAAGCATTATTTACCCTTTAAAACAATGAAAGATGTGTGTAAGTGGAAAGCTTGCTGCAGGGCTGAGAGATTTCTGAGAACCTAATGTGCTGTCTGAACTGACTGTGGGGACTGCTGCCCCCATTCAGCTCAGAAGAAATCTACAGACACTTCTTTTCACGTTAACCATATGACATGCTGTGAGCAGTCCTTTGGTGGAGCCGGTGCCAGTCTTGGCTCAGACCAAAAGGGGCATAAATTCTTAACTTCAGAGTTTCACTTACCCACCTCTACCAGTTCTACAAGAGCCTTGGTCACCCAAGCAACCACACCCCTCAGGGCCATGCCAGGAGTGAACCCCAGAAGCTGAGGAAAGATGGAAGCTTCAGCAAGAACTAAAACATAAAGAGAAACCAAACATAGCTCTGTGGTGTTGTTTTTACAAGACATGTCCCTCCCATATATCCTGTACCCCATTGCCAGTCTTGCTAAGGTAAATCCCATTAGTGAAAAGTAGAAGGAAAATAGAAAGAGAGTGTGGGAAAAGGGAAATATCAGAAGAAGGAAGCCCAAACTTTCAAAAGAAGGGAGGGGTACATTTTTCCCTGATGTTTGGACATACTTGCAGCAACCAATTTCAGAAATTAAGTTTAACATATAGGAGGTAAAACGATAAAGGCAAGAAGTGATTCTCATAAGGGTCAGGATAAGGTTACCTATAGGATGATGGTTATATTCTATTCCTGGAGCTGGTTACCTGGATGTCCATTTTATAATTAATCATCCTAAATATTCATTTCATGGACTTTCTGTGTGTTATATCTTACACTTTTTGAAGTTAAAAAAGAAAAAGGCCACACCATGCTCTGAGTTGCCCATGTATGGCTGAGTAGAGTCAGGGACATGGTGGCTGGAGAAATGGCATTGTAACAGGTACCCTATGATGTGAACGGGTTATTGAGGAACAGTGTCATGAAGACCATAAGCTTCTCAGCAGAAACAGAGTGCCTGGAGCACAGCAACCACTCAATCCATGCTTGTGGAAGGGAGGCTAGGCAGGACCCAGTCAAGTTAGCCTCCTTTTTAGTCATGAAGTTTAGCGAATGTGGTCATGGTGGGTGGCTGTAAGTCAGCGACTGTGGGAGATTTGGGAACTTTGAGGATAATGACTGCTGAGTGGCAAAGTCAGAGGCTGGGGGTTTGCCTAGCGGTCTTGCTCAGTGTGCCAGCTAAAATGCCAACTGCATGTTGACCCACGTTAGTCTCTGGCTTATGGGGTTGCTGCTTTCTCCTCAACTCCAAGCCGCATCTGGCAGTGGTCACATCTTAGTTATCAGAAGACTTTTTTTAATCTCTCACCATAAAATCTACCCAGGTGCCATATTCTGGTCAGCCTGGTTCACTGCAGAACTGAATGTTTAAGTCACCTTTTCTAGACCTCTCAGCATGCAGGTCGAAGTAAGATACTTGAGCTGGAGACTTGAATATTAAGGAAGACAGAACTGACCTTGATCCCCCTAAAACTACACAACCAGTGGTATGCTGGGTGGTCCATACGCCTGGGGCTGTTTTTATCCAGTCTTTTTGTCAGTAACAAAGATGGGCTTTCCCTCAATATCCCCCCCATCCCACCCCACATCCAATCCACTAGAATTCTTGTTGGCTCCACCCACTAGACACATCCTAAATCACCCATTTCTTTTGATGACCACCATTCTAGTACAAATCCCTGTCGTCTCTCATCTTGCTTCTGCCTCCACTCCTGCCCTCTGCAATCTGTTCTCCATACAACCACCTTACTATAAAAGGGATCGTGCCTTCCGGAATTTTGTTTAAAACCCTCCCATGACTCCTATTAGTCTTAGAATAAAATCATTGGCTTACAGAATCTTCTATTTCCTGCCTACCTTTCTTACCTCATGTTGTATTATTCTCTTCCTCACCATCTATATTCAAATCATTTGGGACTCAGAAAGACCAAGCTCATTCCTGACTTAGGGCCTTTGCTTTTGTTCCTGTGCTTGATAAGAGGGGGCATTCCATTGCATGATTTGCGCCCCCCCATCTCTATGTGACCAGCTCTTGTTTTTGGATGTCACCTCTTCATTGAGGAACTATCGTCTTCTCCAGTCTCTCTCTTAACATCACTCTGTGTCGTGGTCCTCCTGGTGTGTATCACTGTCTGAAATAATCTCGCCGTTAAATTGTTGACTTCTGTTTCTTTCCTCCAGACTGTAAATTCCATGCAGTCAGGGACCTTGTCTGCCTTGTTTACGCCTATTCCCAGTGCCTAGAACAAAGGCTTCACAGAGTGTGCCCTGATATGTAAGAGGTGAATGAATGAATTGTCCAGGTGCATGGTCCCCACCTCGGCCTGCTTCTGTGACTGCAGCTGCATTGTGAAATTTCCCATGGTAGTCAATGTAGTTCACTGTCCACTGCACTCAATTCACTCAAACACTTTGAAGATGGATAACTTGTGATGCACACAAGGTGATGCGATTCACTTTTAAGCATGTTACTAAGAGGACAGCAGAGTGGGTCAACTAGAGATCATGGGTGGTAAATAGATTACCCTTTTCAATTTCTATCAAGAATTTGTAATAGGGAAGAATCTTTTGTATTCTACTACAAGTTAATCACTAAAGGGATGTTGCCAATAAGCTTAAATTATACAGAATGGCCCATTTTTGAGAACCCTTCCTCTCAGATAATGAGGTAAAATACCTGTTTAGCTCACAGAAAGCATCCTGACCAGGCCCACCTGTGAATGACTGCAGGGAGGAAGAAATTAACACATCCCCTCTGGAGGCTGACGGGAACCAGGAAATGTCTGACTTTACTCCCTCCCTTTTTAGTACAAAAGAAGCCTGAATTCTAACTCAGGCAAGATGGTTCTCTGGGACACGAGTCCACCATCTTCTCAGTTTGCCGGTTTCCAAATAAAGTCGCTATTCCTTGCCCCACCACCTCGTCTCTGATTTATTGGCCTGTCATGGGACGAGAAGTACGAGCTTGGACTCAGTAACAAATTCAAATAGGGGGAAAAAGGTACCAGTTTATATTTTTGTTTACTAGTGTTAGAAAATACATACATTTCATTGCTGTCAAGCTAGTGCTCTGAATTTTCTTCTAAGGATAAAAATTATTGTTCAAGGATGGTTCAAGTTTCAATAAATCAGTTCAGTTCATTCCAGTTTCCAGCTTGTGGCCCAGATCCTTTCAAGTCCTTGACCACAGTGCTCTGTCTTTTCCCACTGGAGCTTCAACTTTCTTCTCTTACTCAAAAAGTTACACTGGGTCAGATTCAGGTGCAATCAGGTTCAATCTTATGGGATTCATTGTAAAGCTTATTAGGAATCTACAGGCTTTCTATTATAAAACTCAGGGCTGCACTTTCTGCTATGTGAACTTCCAAACAGTAGGAAACACATTGTCTTTTTGTCTCCAATAAAATTATGTCCCTGGAGAAAACCTAACTTATGTCCCGTATGCTCAAACTACATAGTCTGTATTGTTGCCCTCAGCAGGAATGGACACAGCTATTTTATGCATTAAGAGACAACTGAACGAGTATTTTCATATAACATAGAAAAGCTCACTATAAACTCCAAAGGACAATACAAACATAAGCTTTTATCAAAAGCTGATAGAGAGCATAAAATATGTTTAAAGACTTGATCAGTTGTTTCAGAACTGATTACTGAGTTTATTATCCAGAGAGATTTCCTATTGGATTAAATTTGGATCTACATTTAATTAGAATCAATAGAAAGAATAGGAGATGTAGGAAATAAATAGTGCCACCAATATTTAGGTATTCAGCAATAAGGAAATAAAGAATAAGGGTCAAGGTTCCTGTAACAAAAAAAGTAATCTTTTCCACCTCTAATCAAATACCGCATTTTTATTGGGTGTCCATTGAAGATTAATTTCTTAGCAATGGGACCTATTAATGTGACATACCACTATCTTTAAAATGCTTAAAGCTTTATAATCCAATTCTCAGAAATTCAGAGAAATAACTGGCTACTACTAACCAGTGTTATAGAAATACAATATCAGGTTTTTTAATAGGAAGACTTTTAAAGAGAAAAAAAAGTAAAAGACTAAACTAATTCATGACCTACTTTATTATAAAATAGGTAGCAGTAACGGTTCCCCTTTACCCAACAAAATAGTCTAACCAGTGTATCAGAGTTTTTATGTTTCCTTATAACCAGAGAAGAACACATAAATTCACATTTGATATTTTAAAACTGTTCTGACTGGGCTATAGAAGCAGAAAAATCCAGTCAAAATAATATGAGTACACATCCACAGCTCCTTTAAATCATAAAAGCCTTTACATTAAATTCTTCTCCTGAGACAATCACACTGCAGTAAACTCAAATAACCCAGCTGCTCCCTAGGAAAATCTAGAATAATGATATCTATGGTAGTTATTAGCACTGGTCCAACATCAACATGATATTCTGGGTACTCTTACTGCCTGACATTAGAAATAAGATAGAGACTATTTCCACTATTAAAAATTACTTACTGGTTCTATTTTAAGATTTTTTTCCCTAATATATTAGTCAACATAAAACAATTTTAACGGTAGTTCTTGTCTGAGCTTTTATATTCAAGTATAAGTATCTTGCCATCTGTACTAGTTCAATCATTCTAAAGTAGTCTACAAATGGTAAAGCATCATATCAAAGGATTAATACGCTTTGTTCCATGGAGGGAAAATTAAGTATGACCTAAATAAACATATAGCTTGAGAACTGATTTCACTTTCTAGTGTCAATTTATGCCACCAGTTCAGAAGAATTGGATATTGTACGTGTATGTGCGTGTGTGCACGCATAGCAGCTGGCATCCTCACACATACCACACCCCAATAATATAAAGATTAAAAGGTAATATACATTCCAAAACTGTATTCAATATTACTTTAGTGTTTCCCCAAAACATTGAAAAAACTTTATAGGTAGTGTTTTAACCAAGGATGCTCATTTTTTTGCCATTAATACCTCCTGTGTTCAGCCTGGTGGATTTTGGCTCTTTCTTCCTCCTCTTGCTCTCGTTTAAATTCCAGTAATTCACTCTAGGAATAATGAAATTTTAAAATATGGTTTTCAATTAACATGGTTGTACAGAAGACACCCAAATCAATTAAGTATTTGACCTTAGCTGGTACAATATTTCATTTTTGAAACTTTTACTTGAGTACCATTTCCATGTGAAATTATTTTCTTACACAACCAGGTAGCAAAAATAATTGTGCCTTAGTCAAATAATAACTCTGTGAGTGTAAACTTGTGAGATTAAAAAGCCAATGTGCATGTTCAAGATATTAGACCATTCAGTACAACGTAACACAGAGGAAAACACAATGTGAGCCAAACTCACCTGTGTCTTACAAAGAAAAACAAAACAAATTAGTTCCTTAACGAATGTTACACAATACTATTTCTTGGTAATTTCTCTAAAAAAAGCTTCTTTTTCCCAACAAATTCATGGCTACTTACAAATATATATTGGACTTGATTCTGTAGAGCAATTCCAAAAACACCTTCCATTCTGGAGAATAATACTCACCTATCATTGACTGGTTACTTCATATACTAGCAGAACTTTGGACTCCCTGAAGAGGATACTTTGCTTCAAATAGGAGATCATGTTACTAAAACTAAATCTCTAGTTTCTGACATTCTGATTATATTCTTGGAAGAGGCAACAACTTCCACACTCAGTTACTGTGTTTACAGTATTAAACCAAAGAACTAGGTGCCAGAGATTCTCAATACTCAACTGCGTACATCTTGAGGCAGACCAAGTTATAACCTCATGTCAAAGACAGAAAAAAGCAGAGGGAAGTTATCAGGCCCATGTCATAAGTTAGTGCCTAAGTCAAAGAGGTTTTCTGAGAGAGAAAATATTGTCACCTCTTGATAAACACATATGAACACATGTATTTTTTTAACCCCCAAACTTCCATGATGAAAAGTATAAAATAAATTCAAAGTTCAGATTGACATTTTATTCTTTTAACTATATTCAAAGGCCTTCCAATATTCTATAGTCTCCAGAATAAAAAGACTGGTTTCTTATACTATGGTAATCCAAATATGCTACTCATTAATCCCTAAAGCACATTATTTAATTCTAATTTCTACCTAGCACCAATGACAAGGGTAAAATTGGAGACTTTTCTAAATAACTGAATAATATTCATTTAGCCACTTCACAAGTACTTATTAAATACCTAGATGCCAAGCCTTGTGCTAGAGACTCATTCTCTACAATGGCATAAAGTCTTTCATTTTAATTTTTGTCGCTATATGAACATAGTTTAAAAGTCTACCAAGCAACAGTACTACTTATACTAGGCTTATATTAAAATAAAAGAAGCTCCAGTCCTCTCCCTCACCCACACAATCATGTTCAATTTTTGTGTGTGGTTTCATCTGTCATTTATCTCCTTCAAAGCATGAATATTCTATTTCTTAATTTTAAAAAAAATAGTATTTTTTTTGGCTTCCTACCATGGAGAAGATTTATATCTATATTACTACGTCCATCCCAATTCCAGCTTCCCTTCCTGGTACGCAACCATCCTCATCCCTCATCCTTACAACTTTTTTTTTTTAAACTTTCAGTGAGGTGGGGGAAGGGTCCTAGGGGTCTTACCATTCCTGAGTTAGATTTCCAAGTCATCCTTCTTTCAACCCTAGCCCTCAGCGATACCAGCTGCCTCCAATTCCACACTTGTATCGGGACTGCTTCAACTTCAGTGTTACCACTTCTTGAAAATGAGTTCTGCCTTTTCCTGCTCTACTTTCCAGCTTGAAATTGTGCTGATATCCTGGTTTGTTTGTTTTTTTTGCTCCAGCCTCCTGGCCTGTTCTTTTGTTCTACATACTGGCTTATTGTGCCTTTTTAAAAAACATTTCGTGGGCTTCCCTGGTGGCGCAGTGGTTGAGAGTCCGCCTGCCGATGCAGGGGGCACGGGTTCGTGCCCGGGTCCGGGAAGATCCCACATGCCGTGGAGCGGCTGGGCCCGTGAGCCATGGCCGCTGAGCCTGCGCGTCCGGAGCCTGTGCTCCGCAACGGGAGAGGCCACAACAGTGAGAGGCCCCCGTACCGAAAAAAAAAAAAAAAAAAGAAATGAGGGAGAACCAGCTTCCCCAAATATTAAAACATGTCATGAAACTACAGTAATTTAAACAATCTGATTGAGTCCAGGTAAAGACTTACTACATGGAAACACAGTTTACCATAAGTTTTTGTGCTAAACCCTTGCAGGAGAGATAGTTCAATGAATGATGATGGACTAGCCAACTACTGTGAGAAAATTAGGACAAGATCCTTTATTTTTATATCAAAATAAATTTTATAGAGCCCTAGGATTTGAATCTAAAAGATGGAACCACAGAAGTTTCCAAAGGAGGCATGGGTAAGTTTATTTATAAACTTGGAATGAGGAAGGTCCAGAAATCATAAAGGAAAAGGATTAATAAATTTGGCTGTATGAAAATTCAAAGCTTCAATTGGGGAAAAAAAAACTTAAAAAAATGTTTATGACATACATAGGCTAATTCAATTATTCTTTTATTCAGTCATTCAACAACATCTGAGTGCTTATTATGAGGCAGGCTTGGATCTACATGATGGAGAAATGATAATGAACAAGATAGACGAGATCCTTGCTCCTTAAGAGTTTATATTCTGGAAAAAAGGAAGCCCAAGAATAGGTGAGAAAAATACCCGCCCGTAATCCTATGCAGAGGATTAAACACAGTCGTGAGGCTCAGTGGCTCAGTTCCTATTTTAGATGGAGTCTCAGGGAAGGCCTGAGGAGGTAGCTGAAGACCTTATATATAAAGACCATATATATATTTATATATATATAAACCAACAAGGAAAACACAACCACCAAACAGAAAAAGGCCAAGGATAGGAGGAGGAAGTTGGCAGGTAAACTACAGACTGCCTGTAAATTAAAAATAGTCATCATCTTCACACAAAGTCAAAGAAATATAAATCAAAACAATGAGATAAAATTTTTCTTCTATCACAGCGAGAGAAACTAGAAAAGTCTGATAGAGAATCAGGTACATCCCAGCACTTTGGTGGAGTGTCGAAGTTAATAAAAACTAATTTAGTTTTTGGAGAGCAATAAACATTGATATGTAAAATGTACACATCCTTTGCAGAAGTGTTCAAAGATATGTATAAAAGGAGAGGCAAAAAAAAAAAAAGGAGGGGCATACTTGTATTATTGAAACAGTAAAAGTTCAGGAGAAAGTCTTAATGCACATTAAGAAGGACCTGGCCCAGGAAGGCAGACCGTCCACACAACAGAGTACTCTGCAGCAGTTACAGAGAATTAGATAGACTGAGGGGGGTGCCTGTGGCGAGATCTCTAAGACACATTAAATAATAAAAGTCAGTTTACAGCAGTTTTGTGGGGGACTCTTCCATGTAAATAGAAAAGATACACATACATCCATTTTAACTCATATGCTGGTGTACATCATATTTTAGACATTTTTATGGTAAACCACATACTAAAATGCTAACTATAACTATCACTGGAGATAAAAGCATAGCGAGTAGATAGGCAGAGGAAGGAAACTTTAATATAAGTAGTGGGTTTTTTTTAATTTTTGAACCATGCGAATATATTACGTCCTCAAACCATCAAGAAGGTTTATCTGTGTGGGAGACCATTTCTGTTTCTTTATGCTTTCCTTTATTTAAAAATCCCAGTGGATATACAGTTTTTAATATGTAAAAATGTAAAAGAGCAAAATACTACATCATGAAGCCAAGGACTCTCAGGGAAGAAGTAAAGAGGACGGGAAGAGAATAGCACGCAGCATCCTGTTACAGAGGCAAGGACAGGGGAGAGGAGAAAACAGAGCAGCAGGGAAGGGTAAGGGAACCGATGAGGCATCATCATGCAAGACCACTGCTCCAGGTGGCAGAAGCGGGGGCTCTAGCTCCACTGCACTCAGGATTATTATTCTATAAGCAGCAAACCATATTTACTAGGGAGAGGCTGGTTTTCCTTTGGTGCCGCAAAGGATTATTTCAACTAATTAATTTGTTCTGCTGAACTGACAGCCACTGCAGCTGCATCTGCGTGCTTTATAAGCGTATTCCTGGTTCATTGATGCGGTTCTCACACATAAGTGCAATACCTCGTTGGATAGATACAAAATAAGTCATTCCTGTTCCAAGGACTGAGCTTTGGACATTAAGAAAATCAAAACACTCTAAGCCAGAGGGACATGACGCACAGCATCTGAGACATGGTCAAATCTTATCTCACTCAACACAAATTTGTGAAGCACCAACCGTTTTCCAGACACCTGGATTCAGGCTGAAGGTACAGAAGCAAGGAAGACCCAGCTCCAACCTGAAGGAAATCACAGTATAATGAGAGAGACAGACCCAGAAACAACTGTGATACAAAACAAAAAGATGCATTACTGAATACAAGTTCAAGCAACATGACACAGGAATACGAAGGAAGGGATGCAAATGAGAGACAAGGAATAAATGTTCCTGAATGTTCGACGTTTTAAGTGCATCCATGAAGGCTCCCAGGGGAAAGAGTGTGTGTCTTCTCACTGCTCTGCTCATCTCCCTGCATTCAGACAGAGCTCCATACAGAGAAGGTACTTAAGTACTAGGAAAAACAAAATATCATCTTGGAGATGCCAAGAGCAGAACCTCCTGCAAACACTGGTCAATGAGGACAACACTGCAAACGGTGCCAATTTCTGTGCCCACCCTGCCAGGATTGCTCTCACTGGAGGAAGGGCTGCCAGGGATCAGTGCTGGGGGCCCAAGCTAACAGCAAGAAGGAAAAGGGTCGCCATCTCCTGCTAGAGGTTATAGAAATCACTTCTCTGTGTTGCAGTTTACCAAAGGCTCAACTATACAACAAACAGGTGTGTTCAAGGCTGGATGCTTGAGAAAGCTGATGAGTTTAAAGGCATGTTCCAAAGCAAGGCTGTAGTAACTGGAGACTAGGATAGGGTCATTTTAAAATCATGTTTGAATTCCGGTGGGACGTGTTCTGACATGGTTCAG